ATTTTCAACTTCCCTCTAAACCGATGAACAAATGGTCGGATTTGGAGAAGAAGTATTTTTCTTTAAACGCAAAGGCTATGAATGTCTTATTTTGCGCTTTGGACAAAAATGAGTTCAATCGGATTTCTACGTACGAAACGACTTTTGATATTTGGCGAACATTTGAAATCATGCACGAGAGAACTAGTAGAGTCAAAGACTTGAAAGTTAACATTTTATTGCATGATTTTGAGCTTTTTCAAATGCAACCAAGTGAGACAATAGGCGACATATACACCCGTTTCACGGATGTCGTCAATAATCTAAGAGTTCTTGGTAAATCTTTTTCAAATTTTGATCTCGTAAGCAAAATCTTAAGATCCCTTCCAAAAAGGTGGGATCCTAAAATAACCGCAATACAAGAAACAAAAGATTTAAATATTTTTCCACTTGAAGAACTAATTGGTTCGTTAATGACATATGAAATGGTGTACAATGCACATGATGAACAAAACAACCTTCCAAAGAACAGGAAGGATTTGGAACTTCGGACAAATGAATACCACTTGAGCGATGACTCAAGTGACGAGGACAATGATGAACTTGAACTTCGAATACTAAATCTTAATAAGTTTATTAAATAAAAATCTAAAATAAACAATGAACTTGAACGGAGGAAGAGGCCAAAGAAGAAAACACAAAGTGGGATGAATCGAGCTCCTCCGAAGACGAGAAGAAAATTAAGAAAGACGAGGTGGCAAACTACGCCTTAACCGCTTTCAATGATGAGGTAATCAAAATCTCCCTAATTTATTTTTAAATTACTTGATGCTTTCATGATGTATTTTCTTTTTTCGTTTAGAATTAATTTTCTTAAAAATTACATGTTTGAAAATAAAAATACAAAAATTATGATCATGCTAGTAATTTTGAAAATGATAATATTGCATATTTTATGATAAACAAACAAAATGATTTTGATTGAAAATATGAAATCATGGTTAAGAAGTAATAATGTTTATCATATTGATTTCCATTGTTATTTCTCGATTTTTAATGAAATCATGTTTGATTTGAAGTAATACATAAAGTTGTAATGAAAATATTAAAATTTTGACACCATGACGATTTTGTGCATGAGATTTTAAAGTTATACATGATGATTTTTGTGGTTTATTGATCTTGATGGTTTTTATGATGAAATTTATTTTTCGATCCTAAACGTTGATGCATGTTTTCATAAATGAAAAAGGCATGCTTTTATGAAATAAATTATATTAATTGAAATGGCTAAAAAGAGAAAAGCATGTTTCTTGAAAATTCTTTTTCTCTATTTTATTGACTGCGATGAATCTATTTGATCATCTTTTTATGAATTTCTTGAAAATAATTTTGATTTGACGATTTGAATTTGAATAAATTTTTATCCTAATTATGATCTTAGTTTATTGGAATTACTTGAGATCTTCTTTATGAATCAAAATCTTATATCTCCTACGTTTCCTTTTATCATTTCCTAAAAAGGAGATCTATAAAACTAACCATGATCTTGATAATTATGTTTTGAAACTTTATGTAAATCAAGATTGTTCACCATGACTTCTTGTATTTTATTAAAGAAATTATTTAAATGAATCATGTCTTTTGGTATTTACATGATCCTTGAGATTTTATCTTTCATGACATGATGTGATTGTATTTATAGTTTGTATGTCTTGAAATGATTAAAATATTTTACACTATTTTATTCTTCTCCTCTTCTTTCTTGTTTACAATGATAAAATGAGGAGAAATTTTGATCATGCATTGTAGGATATAATTGCTATAATGAGAATTTTATACTATTGCATGCCTTAATAACATGTTGGAAATTATGTGTTTTGGATACAAAAATTTTCATGATCATGAGCATGTTTTATCTTCATGATTGTGTTTGAAAATCTTTAGCAAAACCATATTCAAATGCATGAAAGTGTTAAATTTTATTTTCGGATTTTCTTGATCCTAATAATTCATTTTTGAAAATCTATTGATCTTAATTTGATGATTTAAATGAGCTTTATCTTGATTTTTTAAAATTTATAAATTGAGATTTCTTATGCTTAAATCAAGATTTTATATGCATCAATTAATATCTTGTTCTCTTACAAGATTGAATGAACTCTATCTTTTTCATGATCTCCTAAGAATTCTTTATGTTATTTATTTAAAAGGAGATTTGCTAAAATAAATCATGGTTTCTCTTGATTTCTCAAAATTATAACTTGAGTATTGATTTTATAAATCAAGATTGTTTATATGTTTTCTCATGACATCTTTTAAGGCTTATGACTTGAATTTTGTTATGTAAAATTCTTTGAATGAATGAAATACATCTCATCACCTAATAATTCTTCTTGATATTCCTTATGCGATGATATGAATACATGAAATATTCATTAATTTGTTTTGATAAGAAGTTTCGATCATGCATGGTAGGACGTAATTTGATAAAATTGGTACCATCATGATGTGAAATAAATGATGATTTGGAATCATGCATTAATAATGATTTTATATTTTATGATTTGGTATGATGCATGCATTGATGAAATATTCATGAATTTGTAATGATGCATGCAATACTTATGATAATGATGTACATGATGTATTGCATATGATGTGTATCATGAATGTTTTAAATGATGAATGTTTGATATCATGATCAACATGTTGATAAATGCTTAAAAATTTTAATGTTTGAGTATCATGTATGATATGCTCATAATGATGATTGATTTATTTATATCATGCATGAAAAATGAAATGTATGGTTTTGAAAATGTGCATGTTTTAATTTGAAAATATAATGATAAGATTGATACTTACCTTTGTCATTATTTTGAAAATTGATATAAAGGTCTTCCCTTCTTTTTGATAATGACATAGGGGGAGTAAAAATTTTTAGCGTGGACATCATAAAAAGAGGCAAACTAGCTAGCTTGCACAATTCAAGACGAAAGCAAAAATTGCACTTCTCAAAAGAGAAGAAATTGCTAGCTTGAAATCTCAAGAAAATGCAAAAATGTTCTTTTCATTATCACTACTTATTTATTCAATTATTTACTAGTCTCACTTGCTCTTTAAGTTTAAACGCATTTTCGATACGGTTTCATCGAACGAAAATTTTCAAACCGATATTTTTACGAAAATACTAATTCACTTCCCCCCCTCTTAGTGTCGAAATAGTCCTAACAATCCACAATAGTCACCTACAGCCTCCAATGGTGCTATTGTTCGCTACCACTAATTGAAATATTAAAATTATCTTTTTACCTTTTTTCTTATATTTTCGTTGATAAAATTGATGATATTATGGTAGATGGAGCTAGATATTTCACTTTCATAATTATAGGGATTTAAATATAAATTTTTTAAGTCAAACTAATTACATATTAGCTCCTATACTTAGACCCTATTAGCATCGTGATCCTTGTACTAAAAAAATTTATATTGGTCCCTCTATAGTTCTAAAAATAAACTAAATAACATCATTTGCCCTAACGATATCAATTGTATTGACGAAAAACACAATACATAATATCACGTGTTGGATCGATGTAAAAGTGATGGATAAAAAAATAATTTCAACATCCCACGTGCTCAAAAACGGAAAGGATGTTAAAGTTATCTTTTTGCCTATCATTTTCACACCGATCTAGCATGTAGTGTGATATGTGTTTTTCGTTAATGTAGTTAACGAGGTTATGACAAATAGGATTATTTATTTTATTTTTAAAATTATAGCAATCCAATGTAAATTTTTTAAATACATCGATTAGAGTCTAAGTATAGGATGTAATATGTAATTAACTCCACTATTTAATTATTTTATTGAATATAATATAGACTTAATATGAAGCTCAAAAATTATAAAAATTCATATTATAGACAATTTGAGAAAAGACAGTTCAGTTTCTAGGTAAGTTCAATTTATATGCATAAAGTACTATTGAGAGAGAATGGTGTGATAGTTTAAGTTTGACTTGCAAGTCTATGTTCGAGAGAAATCGGTTTGATAGGGCATAAACCAGGGGCTCAAATCCAGCTTATTGCACTTGTTATTCAGTATTCCAACTTTGCTAAAAGTCACTAGCCCAAGGCATTTGTTATGTGCCACTAGTAATATTTTAATTATATGCACGATTAAGTATTAATCAAGGAACCTGTGCAGGAGTATGCTTGCGCCAATGAGTATTTATCAGTCGTCAAATTGAAGGATACACAAAAAACCTGTTACTCGAAAATCCAAGGGACTAATTCAGGTGACATCCAAGGGACTTCAATGCCAACATTTACAAAACCAGAACTACAAAACACCAACAAGCAATGCAAATTAAAACATAAAATACAGGAAAGGATAATCCTTACATATGACTTCAAAATGCATACCAATTTATGTGTTCTCAAAATAATTATATCCACCAACATAAGTAGATCCAAGTATAGTATTTCAAAATACAGGTAAATTCGTTAAAATTAACTATCATATCAAAAAATAATTGTTAATCTTAAGAGGTTAAAAAAGCTCCTACAGTCCAATACAGAGAATTTCTTATATTTATCACAGAGTCACTTTTTATAAAAATAATTTGAAGACTTGCTTCTTTGAAGGTCCACCATGGGAATAGCATATCAAAAGCAAAGAAACTTTTATCATTTCACCAAAGTGGGCAGAAAAGCAAGATTCGTGCATAGCAGCAATAAAACTACCACAGATATTAATCATATGAGTGCACATAATTCATAATTTAAAGTGAATCATATACTCTCATCCCCAATTGAAGAAAGAATATTCTCAATAATTTACTAAACAAGATGACTTTCTCCAGTTTGTTAAAAGCAGCTTTTCTTCAGCCATCTCTCTCTTTGTTTCCATGGATTTTTCTTTTCTATTGTCGAACAGATTCTTTTAGCACTATGTATACTGTTGAAGCCAAATTCGGCGCACAACCACTCTGCCTAGAACTCAGAGAGGGAATAACATTAACCCGAGCAAGTAAATTTTGTCATGTACAATCATCATCCATAAGCACAAATCACAACAACAGCAAAAAGTTCCGAGATTGCCTAATTATCTAACTGTTCTATTTTCACACACATATCTAAGAGATAAGAAAGAAAGAGGGAGAAGACTCGCCTAAAAATCGAAGCCAGCGGCATCGTCGAATCCGGCGTCGTAGCCGTCGTCGTAGGCCGCAGCATCAGATACCATATCCCCGACCAGAAGCCCGCCAAGCGCGCCGCCCAGTAACCCCGCACCCAATCCCATCCCGAAATTGTTCTTCCTCTGCGGCTGCGCCACTGGAGGCCGCGCCGCCCCGTACCCGTACCCGTACCCGTAACCATACGGCGGCCGTTGCTGGTAGGTCGGCGGCGGCGGTTGATGGTAGACCGATGGCGGCGGGACCGGCTGCGCCGCCCCGTAGCTCGTCCCCAAGGGGTACGCCATCACGGGCTCATCCGCCTTTGACGAGGGCGGAAAAGGGTACGGGGCAGCAGCCGACGCGGGGTACGCCGTGACCGAGGGCGGGTAGCCTGCGGGCGGGGCAGCAGACGGTGCGGGGGCCGCGGGCGCGGCGACGCGCTCGCCGAGCTTGTAGGAGAAGTTGAGGACGCCCTTGGGCTTGCCGGAGGTCGTCCTGCGGACCTGGTAGCTGACGAACTGCACGGGCTGCGGGCCGTCGCCGGCCCGGGAGATCAGCTCCGTTAGGGGAATCCGGACATCACCGACGTCGCGGTCGCCGAGGGCGCGCTCGGTGCGGAGGAGGATCCGGAGGAAGTGGACACGGGCGAGGTTGGCGTCCGTGGGGACGGTAAGGCGAAAGGTGGAGTTCCAGGAAGGGTTGCAACCGCCCTCGCGGTCGGGCGGCGTGCTCTGCCGCGTGCGAGGGTCGTCGGAGAGGCAGACGACGGCGTAGACGGCCATCTTGGAGAAGAGGTTGACGTCCTTGAGGCCCTTGGCGGAGATCAAGGTGATCTCAAGCGTCCGGTACGCCATGTCCGAGTTCGAGAACCGACAATCGGAGAGGTTTCCTTCTTACCTTTAACGGTTTGAGGATCAGTGACGGAGGAGCGATGCGATTGGGGATTGGGAGCGCGACAGTCGAAGAGGCTGCTAGAAGGCATTTATAGGTGCGGTTGCAACAAAAGCGTGCGAGTTTCATAGCGATGGCACACTTGAAATTACCAGGATACTCGTGTCACTTTTCTTGGAGTCTTGCAGAGCGCAGCCACGTGACATTACGTGTCGATCTGGCGGAGCACACTCGTTGGCGGCTAGTTATGACCACAGGGAAACGTCACATTACGTCAGTGTATGTCAACAGGAGGAAGGGTAGTATCGGAATGTTGAAGTGCCGCCACGGAGCACGCGTGAGAAACGGGAGGCGAGGCTTGGCCACGGGGCTAACGTGCACCAGCGGTGACGGTCAAGGGGAAAGGTGGGGCAAAATTATTGGATAACTTGTACGCATGCAATGTGCCATTCAAAGATGCGATAATCTTTTGCTAGAAAAAAGATGTGATATTATTCGTCGGCACAAAGTGATGCTTCAACGGATGTTGCCCAAAGGGCCACCGTTGATTTCAAGAGCATATCTTAGTTTGGTCCGCACAACAAATCCTCCCTATCACATCTACTTCTCTTGTTTGTACTTATTTTAAAACTAAAAAAAATATTTTTTAGAAAAAGTTCTTATTTTATTAAATTTTTAATTAGCATCTTTTTTTCAAAAATATTTTAAAAAATTTAAAATTTTAAAATGACAAAGGTAACCTTCGATCACATTTTTTATTTTTCCTAAAAAAAGTTTATCCCCTCTCCCCTTTTCAAATATAACCAAACCACTTAATTGAACTAGTTGAACCAATCCAAAACTTAGATCGATTTAAAATAAATAATATTTAATAATTTGTATATGAATTTATATTAATATAAATAATAAATAAATTAAAAAATATTTTAAATTAAAAAATATAAAATAAATAGATATATAAATAACATTAGTTATTAAAAATAATATAAATAAAAATATTTATATATTTAAAAAATATATAAAAAATATATAAAAAATTTAAATCTTTAAAAATATTTAAAATAAATTTAACAGATCTATATGACTTTTTTTTTATTTTTAAAGTCTTTAAAATATTTTTACTGATGTTAACCCTTAAAATGTAGAATTTATTCAAAAAATATTAAAAAAAATATTGTTGTCCATCTGACACTAATTCAAAGGTTTGCTAAAATTTTATACTTATTTTGACCTAGTTTAGACTCAATTACAATAGTTTTTGAATAATCCAAAAATATTATAACTAGGCACAAATCTTGGTGTTTCAACCGAAATATCGGAAAACCTTTCAAACGAATTAACCTTTCAAACGAATTAACAGATTCAAAATAGCAAAACACGTTCCTTTCAGCAGATACATTACAATGGCACTATGCAAGACAATGCAAGGGAAGAAGTCCTCAAATCAGCAAATGCACGCATCAAACAAAATAAAATCTGTATTACATCAACAGCACTTGGCAGTTCCACCGATAATCATTAAAGCAGGCATAGCATGCGTTAAAATAAATAGCAGAAACAGGTAAGTCACTAATTATACTTTCAACTAATCATAGTACAACATACTGCCTCTTTGAGTCACGTAAATCCACACCAAGCTGCCGCGGGCCTTGGGACACACCAAGGATGCAGACTCCCAAAATCACACGACTCGGGGGAAGTAAGCTCTGCAAAGCAGCTTCAGTATCTCCTCCTAGGAGGGCTCCTTGATCGATGAGCACGTGGAGATCTGTGGAAAGAAACAAAACCATCATATGAGTTGCAACACTTCAGATGCTTGGTAACACATTGGGATTCCTTATGATTTTGAATAAACATTAACTGGTATAATTTGAAAAAAAAAAGAAAAAGAAACCGTAGCGACTGATTTTGGCTGATCAAGTTGTATCAAGTGGTTTTAAGCAAACGATAAGAAGCATTTTGTCCTCACCTTAGTACTCCTTTAAAAACAATTGGCATCAATAAGGTTAGAAAAAATAATCAAATAATGAAAATAGTGCTATATGATGTTTCTTGACAAATTCTAAAAAGTATATTTTATGGGACAGGATATCAAGCAAATAATGAGATTTGATATTGGTGGTGGAGAAAGAGTCAAAAGTTTCACGATGCATTGTTAAGAAAGTGTACAAATTCTGCAACTTGAATTAGAAGCTTAATTTGAGACGATGCTACAATAAGCTGCTTCAACATGACATGCTGATATCAGCACAAAATCTGTAGTCAAACATAATATTACCTTCTCCTCATGTTTCTTCGCTTGATCGGACCTTTGCTAAATGTCCAATCAACATAAATCGTTTGTGTAAGGAGCTCGGTACCATTTAGTGTTGTGATTGCAGCTTGTGCTTCGTCAAAGTTCTCATATTCAATCAGGGCATAACCCTAAAAAATGCAGAAAAATCAAATTCATAACAAATAAAAGAAATGTAAGCAAAATAAGATGAATAAGCAGTGATAGATAATGTTTGTTAAATGATTAAACTAACAGTGATGCAGAAATTTTAATATATTTAGCATTGAAGGACCTGTTTGGATTTGCTATCATTTCATGCAGATGCCATTCTCAAGCACTTGTATGCAATTTATTATTTGAAAGCACTTCCGACAGAAGACTCCATATAGAACACATCTGTTAAATAAGGCTAGATCATCAAAAATACATTTAACATGACTACTTTAGTTCACCTGTAAACTGCATGGTTTGACCATTTACAGGACCCAAACCCTAACGTAAAATGTAATGTGGAGCTCTATACATCATAAAAGATTAATCAGGTGGTCAACTTCCACATGCAATTTCAATCCAGAAATTATTTCAGCAAGGACAGAGAGCTATATCAATCAGATAACCACAATTAGTTCAGCAAAAATAACTAATTAGTCTAAGGACAGAGAGCTATATCAATCAGATAACCACAATTAGGGATCAACACGGTGGTTCATGGCATATCCTTCTTCCTTCCATTGCAATGCTACTATTCCTACCAGCTAGTCCCTATTCTTGATCCCTCCTTCAATGGCTTTACTTCCTCGTAGATGACAGCAGCAGCAACTCCATACTCCAATAGCTGTTGATCCCAACAGCAACCTTAGGAGGAGGTCCTTACGGCTGGAAGAGATGAGAGAACTGCAGCCCCTTCAATCATTGTCACTCATGGAGTCCTTATACAAGTTCCATGTTTAGGTACTTTTGTTTCAAAGCAAAGAAGATCAATTTCTCCTCCCAAATTCTTTGTTTTCTCGCAACTCCACGAAGACAAATCCGCTCAAGGAAGGTTTGACACCATCGAGTCCTTTCCCATATGGATTAGGTGGTATCAGAGCATCGTTCCTCGCATGTGGATGGTTATCACTAGGCAAGGAAATAAAGCATTAAGAGAAGAACTACAGGAGTTAAGAGTTTCAACCCGATCACCGATGAAAAGTGGTGCCAACACAAGGGCAACAAGCAACCCAACAGCCCTGTTGGACCTTGCTGCCCAAATCGCAATGCTCCGACAAAAGATGGAGGTCATTATGTGTTGGATTCAATCCCAAAGCCAACCTAATAGTAAAACATGATAGAAACAAACACATCATAGAGAAGAAGGGACCATCTTCATCAAATACTCAAACCAGTTTGCCAAAGATGCACTGCAATGGCGACAACATTGATAACATGGAACCAATGGCAAAAGCGAGGCTTCGACCCTTCTGAGTCGAGGCTTAGATTAACATGCCCTTCTACAATAGCTCCAACAACATCGAGGTATTGGATGTATGGCTTGATCAACTTGACACCTATTTTACTCTCTATGGGTACAACACCAAGGACAGTCACGCTTGCACGACTCGAGTTGACCGATCATGCACTTGCATAATGGAATGCCTACCTTCGATCTTACAATAACAAAGTGGTGACATGGGGGCATTTTAAAAGACTCCTCTGATAAGCATTTTATCCAATGGGCTACCTTGAAGATCAATAGAAAAGATGACTGTGCCAAGGGAGAGACTAATAGGTGCAAGACTACATAAATTTTGTTGACAAGTGGTGGCACTCGAAATCTCTCTCGACAAACACCCGATGATGATGAAATATACAGCTGGCTTGCATGATCAGATCAGCACCAAATTAAGCCTTTTCAAGGTGTATAACATCTCAAGTGCTAGCGAAACAACCATGGTGATCAAGCAAAAGAATAGAACCCGCGACGAGAACACTTCAGAGAAAGCCAAAGAGGGTTTACTTGAAGGCCATAGAAAATTCTGAACATCATACAAATTCTTCTTCCTCAAAGAAAAGTGACCTTTTCCCCATCAGTTGTCAAAACTCTCTCTGTGTCTCAAAAAGAATCTAAGGATGGCAAAAAGGGCTTCTTAGTCAAGCTGGCAAAGTTGTCCTTGTTAACTCTGATGGCAATGTCATCCCTTCTAACATGCTTATGAACTCTTGGATTTCAAATAAAATAACCAAAAAGATTAAGACTTTCTAAGGAATGCTTTTGGAACAATGATGGTTCACATAACAAGCTCAATCTTCTTAGTTGGGATTGCATCACTTACATAAGGACATTGGGGGCCTTGGTATTCACAATATTCATGTGGTCAAAAAGTCTATTGGCGCTAAGCGCATCTCACTTCTTAGCAATCAGGGCAGCCAATGGTCTAACCTCCTTTTTGCAAAGAATGATCGCCCTAATCCTTGGAATCATATTCCCAAGCAAGGATCTTCACGGTCATGGAGAAATTTAACTCATCTCCTCATCAGTATTAAGTCGGGCCTTCGGATCTTGATTGGTAATGGTTTAAATATCGATATCCAGGCTGAACCTTGGCTTTCTAACATACCACTTAATCGTTGGCCTACTTTAATTAATATTAATAAGGTGATGAACTTTAATGTGGTTTCTGATCTATTTTAAAATAGAGCTTGGAATGTGTTTTCTCTTGCTTTTCACCCGTCCCTAGTCGAAGGAATATTGAGCATTCAGATCCCCTTAAACTTATGTCACGATACCTAGACATGGACTCCCCACCCCTGGGAGTTTCCTATAGCCGAAGTGCTTACAAATTTTTAAAGAGGGCTCCCAAACTCGTGGTAAGCAGATGGAATGGTTAAAAGGTGGTTTGGAGCCTCATTGTAGCGCCTAG